TGGATGCCCCAGCCGGATACTCTTGGTTCTTCAGGAAATTCTGGATATCAAAATACCACGGTTTGCCATCGGAAGCTTCCTCAATGGAGAATATGAAATCGGGCCTATCAAGGTGAGATATAACTATCTTGGGAGCCTCATCTCAGAAGTTAACTTTATACATCGAAGACAACGTTGCGAGAGCGTCTGCCATCTAATTTTCTGCTCGTGGTACATGGTGCAGTTCCACCTTGTCAAAGAAAGGTAACAACCTACTTGCATAATTCATATAAGGTATCAGATTAGGCTGACGAGTCTCCCACTCTCCCTTGATCTGGTTCACAACTAGAGCAGAGTCTCCGTACACGTCAAGATTTTTAATTCTCATATCAATAGCTTCTTCGAGCCCCATAATGCACGCTTCATATTTGGCCTCATTGTTGGTAATTGGAAAGGTCAATCTAGCATTGAATGGGATGTGCGACCCATGAGGAGTAGTAATGATTGCCCCTATTCCACTTTCGTATGAATTAACGGCACCGTCAAATATCAATTGCCATTTGGAACCCAACTCTGGACCTTCATCCGGCAACGGTTCCTCACAGTCCTTCATTTTTAAGTACATGATATCCTCGTCAGGAAAATCAAACCTCATCGGCTGGTAATCATCAATTGGCTGCTCAGCTAGGTACTCTGACAAAACACTACCTTTAATAGCCTTTTGAGAAACATACTGAATATCGTATTCTGTCAATACCATCTGCCATCGGGCAATCCTTCCGGAAAGTGCTTGCTTTTCAAACACGTATTTGATTGGATCCATCTTTGAAATTAGCATGGTTGTATGATTTAGCATGTATTACCTCAAACGTTTGGCAGCCTAGGCTAGCGCACAACACGTCTTTTCGAGCATTGAGTAACGGGACTCACAATCTGTGAACTTTTTACTCAAGTAGTAAATCGCATGCTCTTTACGTCCAGTCTCGTCATGTTGACCGAGAACACAACCCATACTTTTCTCAAGAACCGTCAAATACATGATCAATGGTCTCCCGGCTACTGGGGGTATCAATATTGGAGGTTCCTGCAAATATTCTTTTATTTTTTCAAACGCCCTTTGACAATCTTCATTCCAGGTTACAGCCTGATCTTTTTTCAACAATTTGAATAATGGCTCGCACGTGGCCGTCAGATGAGATATGAACCGAGCAATGTAATTCAATCTCCCTAAAAAGCCACGAACCTCTTTTTCTGTTTTCGGCGTTGGCATTTCTTGTATTGCTTTTATTTTAGCAGGATCAACCTCAATTCCTTTTTCGCTCACAATAAACCCCAATAGCTTACCAGATCTCACCCCGAAGGTGCACTTGTTAGGATTCAGCATCCACCTGAATTTCCTAAGCCTCTTGAACAATTTCAGAAGATTGACCAGATGCTCTTCCTCCGTCTGGGATTTGGCAATCATATCGTCAACATAGACTTTGATCTCTTTATGCATCATGTCATGAAAGAGTGTTGTCATAGCTCGCTGATATGTTGCCCCGGCGTTCTTCAAACCAAAGGGCATCACTTTGTAGCAGAATGTTCCCCACGGGGTGATAAAAGTTGTTTTCTCCATATCATTCGGCGCCATCTTTATCTGATTATAGCCCGAAAATCCGTCCATGAAGGAAAACACGGAGAATTGAGCGGTGTTGTTGACCAACACATCAATATGAGGAAGCGGGAGGTCGTCTTTTGGGCTCGCCCTATTCAAATCTCGATAGTCCACGCACATCCGCACCTTACCATCTTTCTTTGGTACAGGTACTATATTAGCGACCCATGAGGGATAAGTTGTAACAGCCAGAAAACCAACATCCCACTATTTCTGAACTTCCTCTTTAATTTTCACAGCCATATCTGGTCGAGTTCTTCTGAGTTTTTGCTTAACCGGCGGACATTCCTCGCGTAATGGCAGACGGTGAACCACCATATCAGTATCCAACCCAGGCATGTCTTCGTAAGACCAAGCAAAGATATCATTATACTCTCGAAGCATCTCGATAAGCCTTTGCTTGATATCACTTTGTAGTGCAGCCCCTATCCGGATATTCCTGACAACCTCTTCAGACCTCACGTTGATAATTTCAATTTCCTCCTGATGAGGCAGAATGATTCTCTCTTCTTGTTTCAAAAGTCGAGTCAGCTCTTCTGATAAGTCATTATCCTCAACAATCTCTTCTTCTGCTTGAAATATCGGGTGCTCGAAGTCGAAGCGAGTCATAGGAAGTTCGTGATCGGTGTCGTCTGAAATATGAATCCTGCAATGAGAATGGTTAAATGTTTCAAATAATGCAAACAAAGCACATAACCACGTTGCCATTTTATTGTTAAACAAAAACAGGAAAAACAAGGATCACAAAATTTGCATGATAAAAACGCCTTTATTAATGATTAAACAAAGTACACACATAAGCAGGTAGCCCTAAAAACAGAATCATTATGCCCCGGGTAGGACACAGGATTATACAATAATTGAGAAAACAAATCATTACTGTTTTGTAGTCACTGGGACAAGTTCCTGGATAGACCAATTGCACAGATTCTGTCCTGGGTACTAGTCCTAGATATCAATCTAAGGGTAACTTATTGTAGTGTATCAACACAGAATGTCCATCTCAGGCTCAACCTGTTGAGGCATGCACATAATCCAACCAAAGGAAGGATTAGGCTCTCCCAAGAGGGATCCTAAGAAAAGGACTTTGAGATGGATGGCAACATATAAACCAAGGGAATATACCATGCCAAGAATGTTAATCCAAGGCTCAACCTCCTGAGGAATGCACAAAATCCAACCAAAGGAAGGATTAGGCTCTCCCAAGAGGGCTCCTCATCAAGACTTGAAGGATAAAGATAGTACAAACCAAAGGAATATACTATAATGGGGAATGTCAATTCAAGGCTCAACCTCCTGAGGAATGCACAGAATCCAACCAAAGAAAGGATTAGGCTCTCCCAGGAGGGTTCCTCTTTAAGACTTGAATAAAGAATGTAGGGAAAAGCCCAAGGAAAACATATAGGGGATAGGAGGCAACACATCACTCCAGGGAAACCCTACACACTAGCTACAAGGTTCACCTAAGCTAGGGGCATCAAAAGCTTTATCAAGGCTATGACAAAGTTCTAAAGGGATCTCTACCTACTTACCAATCTATCAAGAAAGGACTACATTATTTAGAATCATCTAATGGCTATTTACAATGTTAATCTATGAAACTTTCTAAGTTAGGATCACCTAAACTGAAGTTACTTTGTAAAATGGGGAACTAGTTGAAAATCACTCCTAAACAACTACACTAGAAGCATATTTACAATCATCTAAAAATCATGATAAAAATCATAAGGCAACATCAATGTATACTCAAACAGCATACAAAAAATCAAGATCAAATTGAGAACCATGAGGGAGAAAGAAAATGGACAAAATCACAACATCAATATTTCACCATTAAGCACATATTAAACCAAAAAAAATATGCAATAAAATGAAAATGCATGAAAAATGGAAAATAAAATCATGACAAAAATCTAAACATTTTAAATTGTATCTACAATTTTTCTCAAGATTTAATATCAATTTTTAATATTTTTTGTGAATTAATTTCTAACAGCATGAAAACAAAAATAAAAAAGAATAGAAATTAAAAGAAATAGAGGGAAGGGGTGCATTCAGCAACAAAATACAAGTATACTCGCTTGGGCCCAGGTAAAGGGGGGTGTTAGAAGCAACTGGGCGCTAGGCCCATCTGAGTTTCAACTCAGTTCAAATAGAAAAACCAGGGAGGGGGTGCACTGAGCAACCATTTTGCCTTGTAAAATCATGACGGGCCTAAGGGAGGGGTGCTGATAGCATAAGGGAATTGCCAAGCCCACGCCATGTTAATTCCTTCAGTTCAAAAATGTTCACAAATTAAAATAAAAATGCACGCGTGAGGTATCGAACCTACGCTCGCTCGGTTCACACAGCTAAGAACACAAGCCTGAGTTTCTCACTAAACAAAACGCTGTGTTTTAAGGGGAGGGTATGTGGCGCAATGAGGGCGCTTGGATGGTGTTGTACCCCAAAATTTGACCGACCTCTCTGGCTTATGTTTTATTTCATTGCATCAGCACATACATAAGCATTGCATTGCATAAGCATACCCCAAATTTGTCCTACCAGTATATACCTTCACCTGTGCATCCATTCACTAACTATATCTAGGAAAAAAGAGGAGGCTATCTTTACTTGTGGTTCAGGGTTGTGTAAGGTGCCTCGGGCAAGTGATGAGTATTATTCAGTGGCTTTTTTTGGTTAGTCAGTCAAGAGATTGTTTCATGAGCTTTCAATCAGGGTTTCTGTACCCCAAATCATCTGTATGTGGGTCAGTTGTCAGGACTGTGGTTAATCAAGTGTTTTGTTGTCGATAATCAACAGGATCAAGTTTATTCCTCAATTAAAGCTTAATCATGGTTCTCTGATTTTAAGACATGTTTTGGCTCAGGGAGTTTTTATATTAGAGACTTTGGTTTGTTGATATTCAAAGGGCCAAATCCAGACTGATTTATTAATTCAAGGCTCTAATCTGTTCCCAATTTAGGATAATTCAAGGTCAATTCTACTTCTCAAGGTTAACTCAAGTGGAAATTGTTTCAAGTCAATAATTTTGTTTGGTTCTCGTGGGATGTCAAGTTTTCATCATTAAGTCAAGAACTTTGAGTTTGGTTTATCATGATCTTATGGCGATTTCCAAGTTTGTTTGTGAGTAAGGTGTAAAACTGGTTTCAAAGTCCATTACATTTTATAACAGAAACTTCACAAATTCTACAATCTCATCACCATTTATATTATTCAATCCAAATCATGAAAATTTCATGAATCAGTTCATTGCCAATGACCCACTTGCCTCCACAAAGCTCATCGAGTCCTATTCCCAAATGGGTTCTCTGCAATCTTCAAGACTCGTTTTTTTTACGCATACCCATCTCCTGATTCCTTCATGTTTGGGGTTCTCATCAAATGTTACCTTTGGAATCACTTGTTTGACCAAGTGCTTTCTCTTTACAATCATCATTTTCATATGGGTTCTTCTCACCTCACTCAGAATTGCAGTTTTTTTTTGTATCCTTCTCTTATAAGGGCTGCTTCTGGTGTTGCTGACTTGGTTGTAGGAAGAAAGTTGCATGGGAAGATAGTTAAATCTGGGTATAGTGTGGATCGTGTTATTGGAACTTCGTTGCTTGGAATGTATGGGGAGTTATGTTGTTTAAGTGATGCTAAGAAGGTGTTTGATGAAATGTGTCAGAGAGATTTGGTTTCTTGGAGTTCGGTTGTTTCGTGTTATTTTGAGAATGGGATTTATAGAGAGGGGTTGGAAATGTTTCGTTCAATGGTTTCTGAGGGGATTAGACCTGACTCGGTTATGCTGCTTAGCGTAGCTGAGGCTTGTGCTAAAATTGGTTGCTTGACGTTGGCTAAATCAGTTCATGGGTATGTGATTAGAGAAGGAATGATTGGTGATGGTAGTTTGAGTAATTCTCTTATTGTTATGTATAGTCAGTGTGGTTACTTGTGTAAAGCGAAACGGCTCTTTGAATTTCTTGTTGATCGGAGTACTTCTTGTTGGACTTCTATGATTTCGTCCTATAATCAAAATGATTGCTTTAAAGAGGCAATAAATGTTTTTGTTAGGATGCAAGATTCAGAGGTGGAACCGAATGAAGTGACAATGATTAGTGTTCTGAATTCCTGCGCTAGATTAGGTTGGTTAGAAGGGGGAAAATCAGTTCATTGCTTTGTTTTGAGGAATGCAATGGATGCTGCTGATCTTGATCTTGGGCCTGCACTGATAGATTTCTATGCAGCATGCTGGAAAATAAGCAGTTGCGAGAAACTTCTTAGTTTAATAGGAAACAGCAACGTTGTATCGTGGAATACACCCATATCATTTTATTCTCGCGAGGGTTTAAACGATAAAGCCATGGTACTCTTTACACATATGGTGGCAAAGGGACTGATGCCAGACTCATATAGCTTAGCAAGTTCAATTTCTGACAACTGATCCGTTAAAGGAAGCGGAGACAAGTGATCTTGATGTTCACACAATGTTTGAAACAGCCACTGCTACTAATGCAGATACAAGTGGAGCAAAGTTTCGATCGTCACAAAAAATAAGTTTAAGTCCAACTTCAAAGGAAATAGTTGGTTCATCTACCAAGCTGCTAAATAATTCAGTAGCACCAAGAGATGTTGTATTTTGTAATGCGGAAAAAAGCATGCAAATTGGTGCTAATAAGGAGCAAGTTGATCCTAGCCAAGAGAAAATGATGAGGTTTTCTCCCACGCTGTTTAATAGTCCTGAGACACCAACAAATGGTGGAATTGGACTCTGTGGTTTGGAGGAAAACATGGAGATTGATGTTAATAAGGAGAACATTGATCCCAATGAAGATGTTATGCATGAAGAACCTAGTACGTTGGTCATGAGTGATAATGAGGATCTTATACAGGCTGTTTCAGAAGAACTTGGTAATGATTTGATGGAGGGTGAAGTTGCGAACATGGACGATAAATTTGATCTTCTTGAAGATGTTCATGGATCTGTTAACCCAGGTGGCACGAATAGCACTCATGCATCAAACATAAAAGCTGATTTGAACACCTATGTGACTGGTGGAGATATTCTAGATGAGGTTCATGCATCTAGTTTTGAAGATTCAGATGGGACACCAGTTAAGTTTAGTGATCTTGATCTTCACAAAATGTTTGAAACAGCTACTGCTACTAAAAATCAAGATATAAGTGGATTGAAGATTGAATCTTTGCCAAAGATGAGTTTATATCCAACTCCAGAGAAAATGATTGGTTCATCTAGGTTTGAAGATTCAAATGGGACACCAGTTCAGTTTCTTCCAACTGATCCGTTAAGGGAAGCGGAGACTAGTGATCTCTATCTTCACAAAATGTTTGAAACAGCTAGTGCTACTAAAAATGCAGATACAAGTGGAGTGAAGTTTGAATCTTCAAGAAAAATGAGTTTAACTCTTACTCCAGGAAAAATGATTGATTCATCTCCCAAGCTGCTTAATAATTCAGGGACACCAACAAATTTTGGATTTTGTGATGTGGATGAAAATTTGCAGGTTGGTGCCAATAAAGAGAACATTGATCATAGTGATAAAGTTCTGCATGCAGAACCTAGTCTAGTGGTCAGGAGGGACGATGAAGAGGTTGATCTTAGTATTTCTCAAATGGCTGCTCAAGAAACTCATGAGAAAAGATGCTTGCTGCAACTTCTTGCTGCCATAGACTTTGGCGATGGTGGATATGCAGCGGCAAATTATCGAAGGCTTTATTGGAAAATTAATTTAGCAGAGCCTCTACTTCGTAAAGATGACGAGTTGCATTTAGGTAATGAAGATTGGGATGATGCTTCACTCTTATTTACACTAGAAGAAAATAGGCACTGGGAGCAAGCAAGGAATTGGGCCAAACAGCTGGAGGCCAGCGGTGCACCCTGGAAGTCTGCTATGCATCATGTTACTGAATCTCAGGCTGAGTCGATGGTAGATGAATGGAAGGAATTTCTTTGGGATGTTCCAGAAGAGAGGGTTGCTTTATAGAACCACTGCCACACACTATTCATCAGATATTCCTTTCCTTCTCTTCTGCTGGATTTTGATCTGCTTGCTACCGAAATTCTTGGGAACTGCATTTGCATACATCAACTTCCTTCTCATTCAGGCTATTGATAGGAGTCCATCTGCAGTGAGGGTTGGTTTGATTAACGGATAGTTTTTTTTGTTGGTTTTGGTCATCAGCATTGTTAGAGATTTGAGCGTTTGTTTTGTAAGTGGTAAAAATGGTTTCCTCTCAGTTTTCTGGTATGAGTGTGGGTGGCATGTGTAAACCGTTGCTCTTTCCTGTTAATGATCCTGGTACTGTAACCACGGATCACATTGAGATAGATTTCTCTGATGTTTTTGGTCCTCTCACTGTTGAAGTCAATAGCAATGATAATCATTCTTTTGATTCTGTTGATGAATTGAGCGAGCTGGTTTATGATGACCCAGAAGTCATCTTTGCTCGTTCGCATTCTTTGGTTGGTCCTTCTAATTGTGTTAGTCAGTCACTTAAACTCAGTAAGCTCACCATACACGAGTCTGACTCGGACAATTCGTTGGAACTAGTGGAGAGTGTTACTGAAGAGACCATTGAAGACATCAAAGAGGTTATCAATGAGGAATCCTTGAATGATGAAGACAGGAGCCTGTTGGAGATCCAAAGAGTTAGCATTGATGATTTTGAGGTTTTGAAGGTTGTGGAGCTAAAGGGATTTCGGAAATTAAAGGGCACAAGTGGTTCAAACCGATCAATTGGAAGAAGTTAGATGCACGTGAAATTGAACCAAGCTTTAGGCCAGAAGTAGCTGGGAAGTACTGTGTTGCAAACTTTGAGAAGCGCTGGACTGATATGCCTGTTGTTGATTCACCAGCTGCGAGCCCAAATGGTGGAAACCCCTTCAAGGACTTCTCTTATGTCAGACCTGCAGCCTCTTTTCTTCAACAGAATATCCCTGCTTTAACTCATCCCACACCAGACCAAATCCTGCGCCATTCTGCTACCAACAGACAATGCCAGCTACAACCACTACCCTGCTACAAACTCACACCAGACCAACCATTCTGCTATCCCTGCTTTAACTCCTCCCACACCAGACAACTCTGCGACAATACAGCCTGCCCCCTGCTACACTAGGTTGTACAAACCTGCAACCTGTAGTGAAAACCAAACCAACCAGCAATATAACAGAACTTAATCTTCATTGGTAAAAAAAAAGGGATGAAGAACCACACTTCCATTCCTCCTCTGGATCAAAAACCTGCTACCAATTTTTCCCCACAATGATTCAACCAATAACACAAAGCCCAGAACAAAACCATCAACTGTTGAATCTCTCCGTCTCTAACTTTCAAAAGCTCAAAACACAAAAAAAACCAGTTACCAATCTCTGAAAATCAACACAAAAACCACAATCCCAGACTATCAATTTCAAACCTTCAAACACTCTGCCCAGAAACTTCCTCCACCGTTTTTCTTCGAATCACCTTCGAACCCACTCTGCAAATCTATTCACCTCACCTTCCTTCCATCATCATCAGACACAAACGGAAGCTCACCGGCGAAGCCATTTCCACCCTCTTCGAAATCCTTACCGACATCATCATCATCCTCTTAACACCTCAGCTAAATAAATCACCCAGAAATCTCCATTAAACCCTCAAAACCATAACTGTACTTTCATCGAACATGTGGTGAGCAAGATTGTAAACCATCGAAAATCAAGCCGCCGCCGTTCCAACAGAAACCCTTCATAAACCCACTTGAACGACAACAAAAAATCACCATCATCACCTTCGGATAAAGCGGGAACACTTCGTTACCATTGCAATGCCATAAATACGGTTGCTTCTAATTTCGCCTCGAAGTGAGAAGAACAACGAATATCGCGGCCCAGCCGTTTTTCATCTTTGAACGAGTCGGATTCACGTTGCTTGTTGATGCTTTCACATGAGACCTAAAGTTGTTGTTGTTGTTATAGAGGTGGAGTGGTTTCAACAGCTGTCCTTGTGGTTATTCATCGTCAATGCTCACCAGTTTTCTTCTCCTCATCATTCTGTGTTGCGAGCGGTTAACAGGGTTCGTATAACCCTTTCCTTTTGGTGAACGAAACAGGTCGGTACATGAACCTGTGGATAACCCGATCCACACTTCATCTAACAGAGTTCCTCTTCTTGTTTTTTTAAATACTTTTTTAAAAAGAGTCCATCCAACCAAATACCTTTTTTTTGTTTTGTTTCTTTAATAAGGTTTAGAATTTATTTAGGTTATTTATTTGCTTTTGTTTAGACTAAAATCCTTACTAATTATTTCTTTTGCAATTTTAAGTTATTGGAAACTCTTTCTGCTAACTATATTTTAATTTATATGTTAGATTTTATCTCTCATTTCTTATTGAACATTTTATCCTACTTTCTGTCTTTTTGGTCAATAACGAGACCTCCGTAAATCATTATTAATCAAATTGTTGATGGATGATGTAGGATCTGAGACCACCTTTTCTCTCTTCCTTTCTTGTCCCGATTCGATTCACCGGCGCTATCAAACCATCTTGTAAACAAAATTCTCTTTGTATTGGATTAAAAAGAGGGGATTAAGTGTAGACTTTCTTCCTCTCCGAGTGTCGAGATGCTCACTGTAGTGTGAGTGGTTTTGACACTCGTCTTTCAATACGAAGACGCTCGTATTCTCCGCACTCATCCATATCCTCCTCCTAAAACCTCGGTCTCGTACCGAGTGTAACTTTGAAAATATTTTCAAATCATATTTTCTTTGTATTGGATTAAAGAGAGGGGATTAAGTGTAGTCTTCTTCCTCTCCGAGCATTGGGATGCCCACTGTAGTGAGGGTGGTCTCGATACTCGTCTTCCAATACAAAGACGCAACTTTATCCACCATATCTCACTTTTACAACTTCATCCCATAACCTTTCTCACCTAAAACCTCGGTCCTGTACCGAGTGTATTTTCAAATCTTTTCACAATGAAAACTTGAATGGTCGTGGAATGGTTAGGCGTAGGCCTTCTCCTATCCCGAGTGCTGACGTTTACCGTAGGGTTCTCTGTCGCAAGGCACTTACCATTCAAAACCAAAAACAATTAAATAAGAGAATGAAGTTCTCTTTGCATTGAATTAAAGAGAGAGGATTGGGTGTAGACCTCTTCTTCTCCGAGCGTAGGGATGCCCACTGTAGTGAGGGTGGTTTCGACGCTCGTCTTTCAATACGAAGGCGCCTCGTTCACCACACCCTTTTATAACAAAAAACTTTGAGATAATGAATTGGGTACTACCCGTAGGGGTTACTATCCGAGGACATGTCTCGCCCCCTAAAAAACAATCCAATCAATCAAACGTGACTTCTTGCCCCGCGTGGCGAAAGCTAATCAATCTTTCAAAAGGATATGTTACGTCCGTTCTACCGCAAACAGGTAACGCCTAAGT